ATATCACTAGCAGTAGAGCCCGGCGTTGCCCGGGGATGTAACAGTAAGAGATAGATCAAGTATCGACCATCATAAAGACTGAAAAATAAAATTGACAAAGATTATTGTTTAAGGTTGACGGACACGCATGTCTTAATTAGTTTTTTTTTGTTTTTTTTGTTTCGTTTTTTTTTTACGAATTGGCCAAACCCAAACTCAAACAAAAACATTGTTTTCAGTTGTTATGAGTCTACCGATTGAATAGAATTTTATTATAAACAATTGTCTTGTAAATGGAATTTTTAAAGCATTCTGAATGTAAAAATAAAGAAAAAAGTGTGCAAGACAATAAAAAACACTACCTGCCAAAAAAAGTGAAGTTTTGTTGAAATCGGTTGAAAAATGTAGGAAATCCGATCCCATATATAAACGAACACACAGACACACAAACAACCTGGGTTTTATAATAAGTATAACTCGATATAAATTGTCCCCCTTTCATTCTGTCTCTTAATCGTGTTTTCAAATTGATTTCGTGCAATTGTGTTTTTCCAATTTTGGGGGCTGTCAGAACCATCGCAAGGTAATCTTACGTAGTCCTGTGAAGTTTTTTTGGAATCGGTTGAAAAATGTAGGAAATCCGATCCAATATATAAACGAACAGACACACACACACACACAACCTGGGTTTTATAATAAGTATGATTACTTTACATCGAATAAGCTGACCTGCCAAATTTTCTTATTCTAGACTGAAGGAGACGCCAGTAACAGTTCTTTGAACAAACCCCACTGCTTGTCACAGCTGACTTGCTTGCAATGGGGATGTGAAGACAATTTAGAAGCTCACTATGTTTTGTGTTAAACTGGGCCAAAATGCTACAGAAACGTATGAAATGCTCCAGACTGCTTATAGATCAACAACAACAGCAATCCCCGTTTCGATGAAAAAGCACGCAGGGGTGTCCGAAAATTAAGATTTTAAAATCTTTCTCTTCGTGCTTCGGTTTAGTCAAAAAGGTCTAATATGTTATAAATATCATAATTTTATTGCCAATATTGTTACCATTTTGTTGTCTGGTTTGCAAGATCTCGCCTCTCTCCATCACACTGAGCCGCGAGGGATGTGTATATATATATATATATATATATATATATATATATATATATATATATATATATATATCTGTGTAGGGGGTGCTTTCCTGTCTCGCGGAGTTGTCCACCAAAAACCAAATTCTCGCGAGTGGCCTCGTCAGACTCTCTTTGATTTACAGCCATCTCCTCCACGGCCACCATTGGTGGTGGTGGTGGTGGTTGGTGTATGTGACCGGCTTACGGCTGAAGTGAAGCAACATCGTGCCTGGTTAGTACCTAGATGGGTAACCTGATGAGAATAACACCTGCTGTAAACTTGGATGTTCGGTTGGTGCAATGGGCTGAGTGGTGTAGTAGATAATGGCAACGTAAGACCAGACCCAAAACAAAGTATTGCTGCCATACCTGGGCTGGTGTCCAGGCTTCAAAAGTGCCTACGCGGCCTTGTAGGTGATGAACCATTCTCCACCCACTAATCTTTGCCCGTGTAACTACTATATCGCTATTACTATGGCAGATATTCGAATAAGTTACATTACTTAGTGTCACCAGTTCAGACCTTTACAACTAGGACCCCCCACCATGCCGTGTTCAGGAAGGAGGTGCAAACCATCCCAATTCCAATCGTGTTCCTTTGATAAGAAGCAAGTTCCACCAGATTCTTCGCTAGAATCCCGAGAGAATGCTCCCCTGATAACTACAATCTTGGCCTCTTTAAGTCCAGGGTCAACCAATATCTATCCTACTCATCCTCATAATATCTTACTTTTTTCTTTTACAATCTCACTCTGTAAGCCTCTACACTGAGTGGCTCTTAGGCCTTGTATTGGATGAATTATCAGTAAATAAATTATTTTAAAAAAATTTATAAATATAAATATAAAATAAATTGTTGTCTCCCGGTTGAACTCCCCACTGGTGAGAACCTCAGAATCACTACACATCGTGTTGCTTGCATAGTTCGCTTCCAGAAATGATGAACTCTTGATGGGAAAAAATTCGAAAATTTAACACCATTTCTACAAGGTTTGAAACAATGCTGGCGATTGACGTCAAGAATGAATTTTCTTTCTGAATTTCTGGAAGTTTTTTTTTTTAAAGCGTTTCAGCCCAAGCAAGGCGGGAAGCCACTAGCACGCAAGGTTTTACAGAGAGTTGGAGCGAGAGCAAAAAGGAGTGATGGAGGAAAGGATGAAGAGAAGGATAGGGGATAGATCGAGGCATCTGGAGATGTCGATTGACATTACATTTGAATAGTTGGAGATTATAGCTATCAGGGAAACAGGAAGAGGGAAGGGTGTTCCACAGGCAAGAGGTGCGAGACATGAAGCTATTGGAGTAGAAGAGACAGCTACATTTAACAGTTTCGACAGTGAAAGGGTGAGAGCGAGATGCCAGACTAGTAGAACGCTTAAATTCATGAAGTTTGTGAACCAGCGAAAGCAGCTCCTCAGAGCGATTACCATGAGTTATCCTTATTCACACTACATGCATTCAGATTATTGTCCTCATCTTTGTTGTTGTTATCATAACGTTTCGGCTGTTGTGTCCTACGGCCTTCATCAGTTGTATATCGATCCGTGTAACCTACTGTCTGTTGCAGGAATGACAGCAAAACACTTTACCCTCCCCAATATCTATTTTCCACAAATGCATGCTGGGATTTCTTCCTAGCCAATATAAATAGGCTGGTTCTTGGTTTCATCTGACTCAGTCCCGATCTGCCGATTCAGGCGGTTCGGACTGACTTGTCAAACTCTTTGTTTTCGGGCAGAGAGGAACCCAGACGAGGCTATGCCGAAGGGTAGAGTCACGTCCCGGGAGGTAGACAAGCCCGACCCGGTGTATGTGGGGTCTACGAGGAATTCTTGTCCAAGCCTACGGGCTCGGAATCCTCCACATAAAATGGGCTTGTGCCACATCTTGCTTTGTGGGCAGGCGAGGTAAATGACCTCAGTCCCGGTCTGTCTTGTCATAAAGTCAGAACGCTCTGTTCGCTTGTCCGAATTTGCTCTTGTGTGTCAACCCCGAATTTAGTTTGTGAAATTTTTGCCTTATTACTGTTGCTTTGCCTTATTTGTGTTAATTTGCCTTATTAGTGTTAATTTGCCTTGCATATATTATTTACTTGCTTTCTATTATTTTTTGCCTTGTTATTTTCTTTTCTTTTTCTTGCTGTTGTTTATTGCAAAGTTTGTCAATTCTGTTTGTTGGATAATTCTGCCAATTATTTTACACTTAAGCATGGCCACTCTCTCTACATAGTGGGTGAAAGCGTTGGTCCTTAAATTTGGTCTCATAGTAATTGTGAGTTCAATCCCTACACCGGGCAGTGTTACCCGGACTTAGTGCAAACAAGGCAAGCAATAACTAATCAGTACTAAAAATAAGAACTAGACGAGATATCCCTAGACATGGATATTGGAACAAGAACATTCTACCCCGCAGATTGAATAAAGTGTTCAGTTCAGAATTTCCTGTAGGTTACCCGGATCAATATACGCCTAATGAAGATCGGAGGTCAAAACTACCGAAGCACTGATAACAACAACAAAGATGGGGACAATATTCCATATGTAAATAATGTTTTTCATGTTTAAAAAAAAAATGGTTTTTGTCGGTTTTATCTGGACTCTGGTTTTATTTTCTCTTCCCGCTTGAGTGGAATGCACCTTTCATTTTTGATTTTAGGTTAAAAAATCAACCACATTCAATTGATTGATTCTTGATATCTGATTGGTTGATTGCAGCGCATGCGTTTTAGCATTCTTCCGCAATGCACCAATACTTGTTCAGTTTTGTAGCGTCTTTAACAAGATATCGTTGGCAGTGTGTGGAGTCATTGTACCATTTTATATATATATATATATATATATATATATATTGTAACGGCCAACCATTTTGCACCTTTCCTATTTTCCATAGATTTAATATTTTTTAAGGTTTATTTTGCGCTATTTATTTACTTATGAATATATCTGTTTTTTTTTTTCTGCCTATTTTCGAAGTCAGCATTTGGAAGGATACCAGAACTGATGCTTTCGCAACATTATACGGCCTGAAGCGAAGCAGATCTTTAGAACAGATGAGGTGTGGGGGGGGAAGTATAATAATATTTTCATATATATATATATATATATATATATATATATATATATAAAACGACTCATTTAGAAAATATTTTTCGGTTATTATCTCAATTCTACGTTATCTTTTGCCACGGGAAATGGCGACAAACAACCGAGATTTTCTTTTTGTCGTCAGCTATTTTCTTTCAATCCGAGGTTTTATTATCTCCTTCGTTTAGCTATTTTTTTTCATTTTCTTACTTTCCTCTTTTTTCTTCTTCCTGTTCTTAGCCATTCCTTTTTTCTTCTTCTTTTGTCGGAGAATAATTGTTTTTCGTCCATTTAAAATTTGTGTTTTCTTCAAATTCTTTTTTTTCCTGTTTGTATATTTGTTCTCCCTTTCTTTCTTTCTTTCTTTTTTTCTAATTCACTTCCCAATTTTTTCTCCCTAATTTATTTTTAATTCTTCTTTCTTTCTTTCTTTCTTTCTTTCTTTCTTTCTTTCTTTCTACTTCATTTTCTAATCTTTCTTCTTTTCTTTCTTTCTTTCTTTCTTTCTTTCTTTCTTTCTTTCTTTCTTTCTTAATTTTTTTAATCTTTCTTTCTTTCTTCTACTTCAGTTTCTAATCTTTCTTCTTTTCCTTCTTTTTTCTTTCTTTCTACTTCATTTTCTAATCTTTTTTTCTTTCTTTCTTTCTAATTCACTTTCGAAATCTTTCTGTCTTTTGTAAAATTCTTTCTTCCGTGGAATTTTTCGTTCTGTCTTTCTTTTATTGATTTCTTCTTTACCTTCTTTTTCTTCAAATTCCTTCTTTCCTTCTTTTCAATGCTTATAATTTTTAATTATTTCTTCAGTTCTATTTTTCGTTCTTTCCTTCTTTTATCTTCTCTTCTTCTTCCTTCTTTCTTCTTCCTTTCTTCCTTCAGTATCTTTTCATTATTTTACTACTTTGTTTTTTTATTCTTTCTATTTGTTTTTCTTTGTTTCTTTTATTGATTTCTTCTCACGCACTTTTCTTCAATTTCCTTCTTTCTTTCTTTCTTTCTTTCTTTTAATACTTTATCTTCTTTCTCCTTTTAAATTATATCTTCAGTTACATTTTTCTTTCTTTATTTATTGATTTCTTCTTTCTTTTATACTTCAATTTCTTTTTCATTCTTTCTTTTTTTTTTTTTTTAATTCTTTCTTCAATGGCGTTCTTTTCCTTTTGTTCAGATTTTTTTTCTACTTTCTTTCTTTCTTTTCTTGTTACTTTTTAATGGCGTCTCTTTTCCAATTTCTTTTTTCTTCCTTTCATTCATTCATTCTTTCTTTCTTTCTTTCTTTTTCCTCTTTCTATTTCTTTTTTCCTATCTTTTTTCCTCATGCTTTTTCTTTCTTTGACTTCTTTCTTTCTTTCTTTCTTTCTTTCTTTCTTCAAAATCTTCTTTTTCATTTAAGTCATTCTTCTACTTACTTTCTTTTTCCTCATTAGCTTTCTTTTTCTTTCTTTCTTTTTCTTTCTTTTTTCTTTAAGGCTTTCCTTTTTCTCATGGTCTTTCTTACTTTCTTTCTGCTAATGATTTATTCCTTTTCTTTCTTTCTTCTTCTTTTTTTCTTTCTTTCTTTCTTCAAACTCTCCTTTTTCATTTAAGGCATTCTTCTACTTTCTTTTTCCTCGTTAGCTTTCTTTTTCTTTCTTTCTTTTTCTTTCACTTTTCTTTCTTTCTTTCTTTAAGGCTTTCCTTTTTCTTATGATCTTTCTTTCTTACTGCTAATTATTTATTCCCTTTCTTTCTTTCTTTCTTTCTTTCTTTCTTTCTTTAACGAGTTCTTCCTCCCGTACTTTCATTTCTCTTTCTCTCACACGATCTCTTCTCCTTCGAAACGGGCAAAATTCTGGTGCCAGTCTCCGCCATTATATAAGTCCCCATTCGCTAAGCCCACCCACACGAAGCACAACCATTGCCGCCCGCAGAAATCTTGCAATCCATGCAAAATAATTGGACACAGCACGTAAACAGCGTTAAAGATGGTCACGTGTCGATTAAAAAAAGAAAAAGAAAAAGCAATAAAATAAGAAAAAGAAAAGCAACTGTGACACACGTTCTGCGCGCGGAACGACGTTCATGCTTTTTCCATTGTCAGACGCCTTGGTTTTGACGAAACAAAGAACATTTTTAGCGCAACGAAATTTCTTCGTCTCACTGATGCAGCGTTCACTACAGTCCAGATTATCGGCACATTTGAACGGCTTTGACTATAGCTACGATATATATATATATATATATATATATATATATATATATATATATTATAAATTTACTTATTTAAAAAATATGGTTCCATCGCTATACAGGAATTACCATGTTTCAAAAAACAAAAGATAAAAACTTCAAAATTCAATTATAGAATTAAATTAAATTAAAGTCGTTACTTCTGTTTCATTTTCAAGCGAATTTTGAAATTTAATGAGTTTTATAAGCACATACATTCATATTAGTTTGTATGGATACGGGGAAATCCAATCATATATATATATATGTATCACACATTATGAAATGGACAAATTCCGACAATTATTTTAAGACATTCTTTTTTATAGATACGAATATTAGTTTCTGTGAATATGGGGAAATCCAATCATTTTAACAAGGGCCGGTAAGGTATTCTTTTTCACTGACAACTATTGTATTAACATATTAATTACTTTCGAAAAGAGGTTAAGTCAAGGTACGGTAGGGGTGTCTTTTCAAATGAATGATGACATCCGTTCAACGCATGTCGTCTGTTTTTTTTCAAAGGCAAAAAAGATTTTCGGCATTTTTGTTTCGCCGTTAAATTTGTACTTGTATGCATAAAGATTATTTCTAAAAGGGTTGTTTGTATATGAATACGTCGTATTGAACTTCGATTTTTTAAGAAAAAATTCCTGGTGTATTTATTTTGGGGTTCTGTTAATTACTAGGAGCTTCGAAAGAACGCGTTGTCTCTCCTTGAATTCGGAGAGCCATAAATTGGTACTAACCTTGTCTAACACGTCAAATGCGGTTGAAACCTGATTAACCAATGAAAATCAAATTATAAAAAATAAAAATATCAGAAACTTAGCACCCCCGCAAACTAACTAAACATTATGTGACACTATTTAGCGGTCGCGTGAAAATTAAAAGCGAGAAATAATTAAAGCGAGAAGAAGCTATCACGAAAAGACATACTGAGCGATGTTATTTTTTTAACAAAGAAAAGTGGTAAACATTTTATTTTCATTTGCGAAGAAAAGTATTTTTTTTCACAGAAGATAGGAAATTCGTAAGATCTCGGATCTGTCGGAATTAATTCATGCTCCGATAAAAGATAGCAATCTGCCCATGGCAATAATGAAAATTTCAAATTGGTCAAATGGCCTACGAAACAGAAGCTGGAAGATAATCGTAATCAGATCACGCACTGATCGAGAAAGGCATCAGCTGAGGCCACCCCCAGAGAAAAAGGAAGGGAAAAGAATAAACCATTAACTATCTTTCGGAGATATCATTTGTTTTTGGAAAGAGACCACCTGTTTTATTGTCCAGACCTGGACATGATAAAAGTTTGTTACCGGGACAGATAATTGGCGACAGAGTGCGAAGACGTCCAGTTGACCACCCACTTGACGCTGGCGAAAATATCGTTGATAAATTCCAGATGACATTCGGTTAAGATAGAGATTAAGGACCACACTACGAGTCGTAGGGGTCTGGTGTAGGGAAAAGAAAGAAAAGAAAAAAGGAAGATAATTTTTTTTCCTTTGAGCGATAATTGTAAACATCCGCGCTGCCGAGCGTCATTGGCTGAGTGGTGGCGTGAGCGGTAGGCGAAGGTAAACATATGAGAAGGAGGGGAGGCCTGTTGACGCCTCTGAGGGGATTGGTGTGAGATACCAATATGAGAAAGGAAGAATTTGGGAGGACGATTCCCTTAAGAACCTCTCTGGGGCAGAAAGTAATGGACTTCCACAAATGGAAAGTGATAAATTTTCCTGTCCGAAAACAAAGAAAATCCTTATTGTGGATTTAGAATTATCGAGGGACCCAAACCACGACAAGCTCACACCCGGTTTTGGTCGGCGTCCATATAAACAGAGTTGCAGCGAGTAGACGGCACTTGGGGTTGGAGAGTGGCAGAGTTCCGATGAGACGCAGACAGAGTTGAGCTGTGAGCTCTGAGACTAGCCTAGCAGGAAGCTGACTGAAGATCCACGCATTCCGACTTCGACTTCTAATCAAAATCAATTTATTTTTGAAGAACGACTTAGACTCACACCACCAAAACAAGTTTTACGAATATCGCCTGAAGATACAAAAAACCAGTTATCGAAAAACAACTTAAGATATTAAGACTCGCCTAACAAACGCAAAGTCTCACGTATCCATATTAGTGCGTTGGGAGAAAGACGTAGTCCTGTATTCAGCAACCAGATATAAAAATATTTGTTATTCTTTAACACATTTGAACGTTTCGAGTTGTTACTTTATTTTCTTTTACATATACTTGTGCGATGTCACCTTTGCTCGAATTCGGCTTGCATTACGGCCCGGCGACTGATTGATTTCGTCTACCTAAGATCGAATCACAACGTGGGTAGGTTAGACTAGAAATCAAAGCAGTTACTTCGGTAATCAGACGTTGGAGGCGAGCTGGGAACGACAAAGCTGATACCGAATCTAACCAGATTCCCATCCGAATCAGCCAAGGGTTAGAACGTCACATTTGGTGCCGTGACAGCAGGATCACGTCACATGCCGCGACTAATACCAAGTCACATTGGTCGTCAAAGGATAGCACGGGGGCAGAGAGAGGCCGGGGTGACGTCACATTAAGTACATCAGAAAATATAAAAAAATTCAGGCGACCTAGTTGAAAAACTAAAGCAAACAAATATGACTGACAAACTCTTGGCCAGTCGAAATATAAAATCACTTCAGTCGCGTTGATAAGGGCGGGGGTGCATCGGTCCGCCCCGGGCGGCACTTTTGGTCTGTGATGAGCTTTCAGAAAAGAAAAAACAATAGCGTAATGTCAATAATTTTGGGGAAAAAGAAGCGATAAGAAAGAAGATGGGGTTCAAATGAAGCCAATTTGTTTTTGATATGGCTGGATAACAGATGAATCGCGCCTCAGGAAATTTTCCACTTTGTCATATTGATCTAAATGCTGTCTGTGGAGATATAAAATTATGCAAAATTATATATTGTTATATATTATAAACTTACTTATTTGAAAATATGGTTCCATCGCTACACAGGAATTACGATGTTTCAAAAACTGAAGCTAAAACCTCAAGATTCTGTTTTTGAAACATGGTAATTCCTGTGTAGCGATGGAAACATATTTTTAAATAAGGAAATTTATAATATTTATGATCTGCAGATTTGCATTGAGCACTGTTTTGTAAAAAAAAATATTAATAAGAACACCGGATTACTGTACTTTCTCTTTATTATAAGATATATATATATATATATATATATATATATATATATATTACATACAATGAATCATTCATACAAAAAGTAAATTAAACAACTGAGACATTATTCATTACTTATTGAACAATTTAGTTCATGCCACATTCACTGATAAACTCCAACAACAAAAAAATTTTTCTCAAATTGCCATATTTGTAAAAAACACAATCACTTAAATTTAAAAAAAAAAAAAAATATTTCGATTCGCATTATATTTTTTGTCTCGGATGCTACCTGAATTTTACCAAAACCAAAATAATTACCATGGCTGAAGATAACTGAATGTACAGTTGAAAGAACTTTTGTATTTAAGAAAGACCTTATACAGCTTATAATTTAAAAAAACAGTGATCATAATATTCATCGAGTGATTTGTAGGTTAATGCACCTTTAAAATTTTGTTTGCGAAGGGATTTCGTCATTTTATATCATTAACTTTACTAATCTACTTTTTGTATGAATGATTCATTGTAATGTAATATAAATTGAACTGCACCACATATTTGATATATATAATAAACAAACAAACATGTGCATGTTTGTGTGTGTGTGTATATATATATATAATATAAACAAACATGTGCGTGCTTGTGTATGTATATATATATATATATATAATATAAACAAACATGTGCGTGCTTGTGTATATATATATATATATATATACACACACAAACACGCACATGTTTGTTTATTATATATATATATATTTATTAAAGACATTTTTTTATGTTTAACGTTGTTATTTATAGATACAAGCATTTAAGCAAATGCTCTGTTTATGTAAAAATTTAAGCAAATGCTCTGTTTATGTATTAAATAACATTTACCGGCCTGAATGTCCGAGAAATTTTCATAGAAAATATTCGTTCTATAACAGGATTCGAACCTGCATCCTATACGGAACCGTCATATACGCTGACGTGCCTTAACCGTCTCGGCCACAAAGAACCTTACGGTAGACAAGGTTCGAATCCTGTCATAGAACGAATATTTTCTATGAAAATTTCTCGGACATTCAGGCCGGTAAATGTTATTTAATACTGTTTATCATAAACAGAGCATTTGCTTAAATACTTGTATCTATAAATAACAACGTTAAACATAAAAAAATGTCTTTAATAAATAAATTGTCGGACCTTGTCCATTTCTTAACATATATATATATATGTATATATATATATGCAAATTTCACTGAATACGACGGACAAGGTGCTTTTATTTAGTTTTTTATACAATTTCTCATGCGATATAATAATTTTTTTCTTTTCGGATGATAAATTTTATAAAAACTGTCCGAATGTTCTTTTTATCCGAGCGCTTTCGGCTATACATTTAGCCATTTTCAAGGATTAAATATTTTAACAGTTAAATAAGAAATAGTTTGTTGTATGTATGTTTTATAAAATGTTTTCATTCTTCAAAACACAGTCAAGATGTTGTGTCCCTGTTCAAAGTTAATATTATTAAGTGTTGTTTTTTTGTTTTGTTTTTATTAATAAGGCTTCGA